AAATGGTTTATGGATGAGATACATTGTAAAAATATCTAAAGGTTCCCACAGTTTCCCTAGGTGTCCAGAGGCTGACAAGTTCTTCCAAAATTTACAGAAAAAAAAAAATCTCTAATCTGTGTAAACAAGGCTGTAAAGTTCTCAGCTATTACAGTGAAGAGAGCCCCACAGAGAGGTTTGGGGACTTTGTGGGATGGGGTGGGGGTGGTTTCGCATGAGTAGCTATTGTCTGTGTGCTGGCTTTGTGTTGCGATTCTGCATGTGAAACGTTTCAGTAAGAAGTTGCTCCAGTGACTTGATCCCATCAATGGGTGCTTTTGCAAAACCTGAGGAAACTACTAAATGAAGTAACCTTGGCTTAGAAGATTACCAACTATGCTGGAAGCAGTGCTAGTGATTTAGGATGAAATATCAACCCTCCTGATATCAGTAATCACTTTCCTCAGGCTTTATACAGGCAAATAACAACCCTCTGAACATCTTCATCACAGCAGTCATAGAATCTTAGAATGGTTTAGGTTGCAAGGGACCTTAAAGGAAGAAATTCTCCACTGTGAGGGTGGTGAGGCACTGGAACAGGTTTCCCAGAGTTGTGGATGCCGCCTCCACGCAAGTGTTCTAGGCCAGGTTGGATGGGGCTTTGAGCAACCTGACTTAGTGAGGATTGGAACTGGATGAACTTTAAGTTCCCTTCCAACCCAAACCATTCTGTGATTCTATGATCACTAACAATCATCAAGCTAACATTTGGGTTATGATCACTAACAATTATCAAGCCAGACTAGTCAGCAAGTAGATGGTTTGGGAGCCAGCTGTATGTGTCTGCAGGGGTAGGATGCTTTGAGAATGACCAAGAGGTTCAGGCCAAATAACAGAGAAACTGGGAAGTCTGGAGGTCAAGTGAAAAATGAGTTTGTGTGTGTGTTTCTGTTTTACCTCTGTGCGAGGCAAAATCCAGCTACGAGGTGGACGGTGTATCTAAGTCCAGTTCCTGGAGAGATTCACAGTGTGTGTGTGTGTGCACATGCGTGTTTGTGCGAGTGAGAGGCCTGCACCAGCAGCTCGAGTGGGGCTGTGGTCTCAAGGGCTCGCCTGCCTGCATGCCAGAACACAGAGAGACAAGGGATCTCAGGGCAGCTACCGGATGGCTCCACAGTGCGTGTGTGGTCCCCCCATCAGCCAGAGAGGCGTACAGGATAAAGCTGTGGTGCTGTTTGTATTTGTGTGAGCGCTGAGTGTTTGTGTGGTGCTGTTCCGTGTAGCCAGCCACACGTATGTGTGTGTATGTGCCTACCAGGAATACAGGCTCATCCTCAACACTTGCTGAACTTGGGAGCATGGAGCTGCTGCAGCAGCCTTGCCTCTATCAAGCTACTAGATTCAGCAGCTCCCTAAAATAACCCATATTATGCTGCTTGAGCCATGGGAAACGTTAAAGGGGTACAATCAATGCTGAAGGTACCATATGAAGACACAGTGGTTTATCTAAGATTCCCTCATGACTCTCAGTTTTTCTTCAAGCATGGACCTTAAGTCTAAGATTCACAATCAGGGAATCTGTCTGAGAGCAAAGACTACATTATCTTAGCATTTTATAAATCTTGTAATAGCTAACGGCAGCATAGAGGAAGCAGCAGAAGCAGCTGCTTTAGATGCTGACGTGAAGGAATACTCACTCTTGGGAAGATCCAGCTTGGCCTGGCAAAGCTCCTTGCCAAAACTGCAAGAGAACAACATACAGGCAAAAGTCATCACTCTTAGGACAGAGATGAAAAGCAAGGCTTGCTCATTTCCAAGGAAAGAAACTGCAAGCTCACAGACTTTTAAAGATGTGACTGAGCTGTATCTCTTCTTTTTACCTTCCCGGTTTCATCCTTGCAGAGATGCTGACTGGTCTTCATTTTCTTTCTATACACAACTACTAGTGACATGCAAGGAACTGACCCAGTAGTGGTTTTAAAAGTTAAATACTATGTATGCCCCTTGTGCCTCCTGTCTCCAAAGCTATAATGAAGCTCATTCTCTTGGAGGGACCATTTTCCCCAGGAGAGCTCCACAGGAGTATTTTGGCAGAAATCAATGATCATCAAAAGCTCACTAGGCCCAACTCAAAGGTTAGGAGACGCTGACAGGCCCCCTCTATTAAGGATTTTACATAAGGGACATCAATTTGGGATCTAAGCATGCAGGATGACCTTGGGAATTATAAGCTTGAGACACGGTCAGGAAGGCACAAACGGTTTTAATCCAACAAGATCCTGGACTAAGAAATTGATACAGACACCTAAAAATATTTTAGGCAGTTGAAAATCCAAAGGA